AGCAAGATAAGTATTGAAGATTTGCAATCCGCTCTAAAAGAAAAGTCTTAAAAGTCTTAAGCAGACTCATTTAATGCCAACTTTAAAATTAATAGCTGAAATTCATGTTAGTTTCAAGCCCTTTGGTTTAACAGTGTAAACTGGATGAAGTGATTCATCTTGAGTGATTGTTCTAATTACCTTAACAGGGTAGGCCTACGACCTAATGTTCATTCGAGTCCACCTGTGTTCAATTGCTCGATGGCATCATTAATTCCAGTTTGAGAGTTTTGCTCAGTTGAGCTTTTATAACTGAAATAGGAGCATACATCAATCCTGCTGTCTGTGGGGTGTAGAAATGAAGAAAGATTTTCAAACCCTTGAACTTTCTTCCTGAAAGGAAAGTGCTATATTGGGTACAAACCAAATATAGTTTCCCCACATAACTGTGGTGACAGCATCATGTATTCATTTCAACAGGAGTAACTGGAAAGCGTATTAGCATCAAGGACAACCTGGATGCAACCAAATATAGGCAAGTCCTTTTAGAGAGTTTTAGTCAACTAGAATTCTCCAGAACAATGGCCTAAAGGAAACTGCAAACATATTGAAAAATTAGGCTAAGAAAATGGTAGGTGATCTGCAATGGTTCCATTTTGAGTATAGTCTTAAATTTGGGTATCAGAACCAATTGTTTGTGGACATGCTTAAGCAGCAAAGAACATAAGGAATATAAGAGGGTATGTAACTGTCTTAACTATAAGATTTGCTGAACATTAAGCTCTGTTGTCACAGCATCAAGCCTGTGTGTGTGTGTGTGGTCGGTCTATTTCTCTTGGGTTTTCTCACTGCCATGTTTTCTGTTACCTACCACAGTACCATTTTAAACACTGATCGTAGTTAAATAGGCCCACCTCACCCCCATAATCCTTAAATCCATTCGTCTTCCAACTACTAGGATGCTGGAGTTCGTCCCAGCAGCTCATGCTATAGACTAGTCATTATGACTATTTAAAATGGAAGCTCTGTGTGTGGCTTCCACATTCATCATGGCTCTGCAACGGTCATGTCCTTGCACTCCTCTTTAACTAATGCCATCTTTATAATGGTGTGCACATCTGGAATAGCCTTCCTGATAACGTTCGGGGTTCAGACACACTCTCTCTGTTTAAATCTAGATTAAAGACACATCTCTTTGGCCAAGCATTCAAATAATGCATCTCATAATCTTGTACTGCAGTTATATCTGATCAAATGCACATTATTATTCTTTAGTTTGGGTTAAACAAATACATTTTGCTTGGTTGGAACAGCAGCTACGCTAATTATGTCTATTTGTTTCTCTGTTTTTGCCACGGGATTGACATCCCGTGGTAACTAGGATTTACACAAGCTTCAGTCTGGATCCAGAACACCTGAGAAGAGATGATGCCAACCCCTCAGAGGACCTCAGATGATGCCAACCCTGAAACAACATACAGAACTACCAAATTTTGCTATAAGTTTGATTGCATCATATAATAATTGCTGTTAATAGTGTTCATCGTCTGTTTTATTACGTCTTTAATTGATTTTTCCGTACATTTCTGCCATATGTACATTGACTGACAGTCACCACTGATAAGCTACTACTAAATATTGTAGAAACTTAATTTGCTGTAAAGTTGCTTTGCAATGATTTGTATCGTGAAAAGCGCTGTACAAATAAACTTGAATTGAATTGCACAACTTTTTCTTTTATTTCAGTACATAAGTGTTACCAATGCTTTGGCAATGTAAAGCCTTTTTTACCATGTAAATAAAGCTACCAGAGTCTTATCCAGAACTTTTAATTCATTCTCCAAGTTGTTCTTGAATAAACATGCATTCATAATACAAGCAAATATGTTAACATTTTCAGGGTCAAAAATATGGTGCGGTAGCTCACTTGTTTAATAAGAAATAAAATGTGAACCGTTAACTTCACTGAATTGTTGGGTCATATGTGCAAAACACGTATTTCATTCATGAAAAGACCCCTATAGGATATTTAAGATTTCAGGATTGGTTCATGACAGGTTTGAGATAAAGGTTATTTGAAGTTATTCTACAGTACTAGAATGTGTATTAGTGGTTCGTTATGACCTGTATGGTTCCTGTATGTCCACATATCAAAGAGACTGGACAGTGAAGCAAAATGTAAGCAAACTGTTAAGGTAAATAAATGAAAGCTCAAAAACTTTGAAATGTTGACTTGATGTCTTTATAAGGCAGTGGTTCTCAACCCGCGTGCCGCATGCGGCCCGTCACGAATTCAAATGCGGCCCACCATGCTGAACACAATTTAAAAAAATAACTTTCAGTTTTACAATTCATTTTAGTTTTTATATTAATTTAAAAATGTACTAAACAAATATAAGCTATAATTTTTTTATGTAAAATAATTTTGTTTTTCATATATTGTTTTCAGACATGAGCAGACCTGTACTCACGTAATTAACGTTACGCACTTAAGCAACACTTACAAGAGCGCACTTTGGCAGAATTCAATTCAAATAGTCATCAGCAGCCATTAGTTCGGTCAAATTGAGCATCAGAATGGACACATTTGTTATTAAGGGAGAAAAACGAAATGTGGAAAATGCCAGCGAAGGAACACATACAAACAAGAGTAGTAGCAGTAGTGAAGGTAGGAGAGTGCTGGACTTTCGGCATCAACTTTCGGTTTGCCCCGCCACTCACTTGAAGATGTTCAGGCTAGAGCCCTGCACGGGCCTCAAATATAGGCCCTAGCCCGGCCCTTGTCCGACAGCTTATCAGAATTACCGGCCCGAGCCCGTCTTTTTTCCCCCTTCTCTCAAAACAGCTTATAGCCTACTACTGTTTCAGCTATAAAATATTTCAGTTTTGTATGTAATGGCAAAGTGATTATATTTCGTTTCGTTTTTTTAGTTAATTTAGAAAAACGTTTGGAGCATTTTTTGGTCATTAAATATAAGTTTTTGTTTTTCGGCCCGAGGGGCGTAAAAAAGTCGGGGCCCGTCGGGCCCGGGTTGAAATGCAGGGCTGTAGTTCGGGCAAAAGGAAACACCCATACTATGCAGCAATCATCTTTAATTGCAGAAATGTGGCAAAACATCTCTGGAGAGAACCTCAGATTATTAAATTCTAAAATGCTTTCCATATTTGGATCAACATAGGCTACATTTGTGAACTCACATTTTCTGCAATGTCGCGCGTCAAGTCACGCTTCCGTGCGCGTCTTACAGACTGCAACTTCATTGTGCTGTTACTCCTTTCGAGCCGAATTTCACAAAATTGGTCAGCTCCCGACAGTATCAGGTGTTTTATTAATGGTGAGTATAATTATTTCAATTAATGTAATCGATTACATATCATAATATTTAGGCTATAATAATTCTGGTTGGTTTGTATTGGTGACATAATATGTAAATGATATGCGTGCGGCCCGTGAGACTTGCACTTGGACCATAGTGCGGCCCAGTGGAAAAAAAGGTTGAGAACCACTGTTATAAGGCATGTATTTGTCAATTTGAAAACTATGCAACTCTTGCCTTGTCCGCATCAGTTCCACAGCACCACCTGCAGATGAACTAGTGTATGACATAACCACACCAAAGCTCCACCAATAGGACCCATTAAGATTTGAATATCGATAGAAGTTGTAAAATAAAGGAACAACAAATCAAATGTAATAGAGATCTCTTTATTATAGTGCATTTATCAGATGTTACAAGATGGGTTTAAAAAAAGAAGCTAAAAACAAAAACCATTTCAGTAAAAGAAAAACGTGCACACGTTCCTTGCTATTATTTTACAGAGTTTTTGAAATTAAAGCTTCACATCTGAACATAGGATAGCTAAATGAAATCTGCAAGCTAAATACATTTTCATACTCATACACTTTAACTACTTGTCATAGATGTTGCTTATTCAAATAAATCTTTATCTACTACAGTAGATCTGTATCAGAATAACTAAAAGGCCAAAACACATTTAGAGTTATGAAACATGAATTTTGGTGACAGACAAAGAAAGGGGGAAGAAAACAAACGAATAAAATGCATTCATGTTGCTATCAAGTTTCACACATTGTGAAACATCACCTATTCCCTTGTGAGAGGTCAGTACAGGGTTAGGACCACTGCGATCATTACAGCACAATGTTCAATGCTGTATTCAACACTGCAGTTGCCTTTGGAATATGAAGGAAAACAAAACGTGTTTTGTCAGTTTTGGATTATTACAAGATGCGTGTACACGTCCTCAAAGCGAACATCTCTCTGCTGGTGTTTTATTCTATCAGTGACGTGTTTCAAAATGAACTGGTGCATCAGGTAGAGCAGCCATCGACCGATGAAGAGAAACAAGGAAGGAGGAAAGAATGTGAGAAATGGAAGAGGGAGGACTAAAGCTGGCTGGAGGAGTTTGCATTTTGACCTGCAGCTGTTCTGCAATTCTCTCATACCAACCGAGGAACCACTGGAGCTCGTTGGTGACTCTGGATCAGTCACACATGTGCCTGGATCTTCATCTATCTATCAGGCGCCTCAATTTTAGATCACAATAGGGAGAATGAATGCATCTCAAAAAGCCCTTAGTGGCCTCACCTGAACACTCATGAGATTCTGACTGTACATATGATGCAGGACAACTTGAAAGAGACCATAATAACCAAAAAATAATAATCGCAACAATAAAAAAAAAAAGAAAAGAAAGAAAGAGCTAAAAGAAGAATCACTGGAGTGGGAGCAGCTCGCAAAAGGCCTCGCTGCTCCAGCAGAAGGCGCTCACTCCCTCCATACTCCCACAAACTCTCATAACTTCTGCAGTCGTCTCTTACATGGCAATCAAAACACATGTAAGGCTGTTAGTTAGTGCCTGGGATCTGATTGGATGATCAGCATGACCCAAAAAAAACAAAAAAAAAAACAAAGCAGACACACAGGGTCAAATGATTTCTTCCCCACAGGCAATAGTTTAAGACGCTGTACAAACTGACTTTGTGTAAACGAAAGGTTTCACAGGCTTGTTCTTGAACGCGCTTGACTGAGGACAGCAGTAGGGAAAGCGAGCTGGTGGCAGGTGGCCTGGATGTACCAGTTACGATGACGCAGGGAATGAAGGCCCAGCTTATCTGTGATCTCGGCTGCGTTCATCGCATTGGGCAGGTCCTGTTGCGCAACAGATGGAAAGAGCAATGCAGTCAAATACTGAGCTTTTTAAAAATATCTTTTTGGATTTGCTCGACACTGATTCATAAAAACCCAAGATCTTTCTGGCTATGCCTATTTTTACTGGTTGTGTCTGTGAAAATGTGCTGCCTGTCCTGCAGATGTCATTGTGTTCTGCTGAACTAATTTAATGACTCATATGGGCCAGTTAATTTTAATGAATCAACAACCTAACCAAAAACGTGGCCAGTGTAGTAGTTAAAAAAGATGAGTTAGTGGTTTGAATCAGTCTAAAGCACTGGTGCATTTAATCTACAGCGAGGGAATTTCTTAAATCAACATTTTGGGGTCAAGTCTCTTATGCTTACATTACATTTTAAAAGAACTGTTTTCTATTTTAATATGCAATTTATTCCTGTTGTGACGAAGCTAGATTTTTAGCAGCAAATCTGAAATAAGTATAATATGCTGAATTGGTGCTCAAAAAACAAAACAAAAAAAAGTTATCAATGTTAAAAACAGCTGCTTAATATTTTTGTGTAACCAGTAATACTTTTTTCAGTATTCTTTGATAAATAAAAAGTTCAAAAGAAACATTTATTTAAAGCTGAAGTACGTAACTTTTTTGTGTTCAAGATTTACTACATTTATATAAGCGAGTAAACCATGAATCCATTTTCCAAACCAGCTTTAAAATAGAAATCTTTCCTTGCAATGTAAAAGTCTTAACTCTCACTTTTGATCAATTTAATGCTGCTGAATAAAATGCCTGCTAACTAAAAGTATTAATTTCTTAAAAAAATAAAATAAAAAAAACTAACTCCAAACGTTTGAACAGCAGTATAAGCAAAATCGATAAATGTGAAATATACCTTGATAAGAAAGAAACTAGTATACCTTAATTGAAATCTAATCAAATCCAAACAGAATTTGATTAAGAGCTGGCGAATCAGAATTCAATCAAATCAGAACAACTGTATTGATACCCAGACCAATCAATGAAACAGTCATACATGACATCAACCTGAATACTTGGACTGCTGATGCTACTTGTGTTTAAAGAATTTAGTTTTTCTCTCTTTTACCTGTTTGTTGGCAAAGACGAGCAGCACGGCATCTCTCAACTCGTCCTCTGCCAGCATCCTCGTCAACTCCTCCCTCGCCTCATTCACTCGCTCCCTATCGTTACTGTCCACAACAAAAATCAGGCCTGTGGAAATAACAGTGACAGACTGAAGTATGCACTCAAGAGTTGCTCAGTACCTGGTTCTCTGTGTGTATGTGTGGACACTCACCTTGTGTGTTCTGGAAATAGTGCCTCCAAAGCGGCCGGATCTTATCCTGACCGCCCACATCCCACACAGTGAAGCTGATGTTCTTATACTCTACCGTCTCAACATTAAAACCTGCAAAGAGAAAAGGGGACAAGTTAAACACTGGCTCAAAGAAAAGAGGGACAGATGGAATGAGGGTGAAAAGGCATGAACTTCTTGTGTCTCATGCTGGGGCCCCGCTCTAATAACACTACAGCCCGAGGGCAAAGAATTTTACCATATATACACACAGACAGCAGAGAAAGAGATGGGATAGAGAGATAAGATAGGACACAAAGAGATGGAATGAGATGGGGGAGGGGCAATGGATAAAAGTAAAATAAAAGTTAAAAATACAGGAAACTTTTTTTTTCTTCAAATCAAAGTAGGCCTATCTAATGACTGATTTTCGAGCCGGTTGAATTTATTCATGCCTTATAGCTTTTTATTGATGTTTTTTTTTTTTTAAATGCCCATGGAGAAAATAACATTTCCAGAACCAAGCACACTGAGAGAAATAAAACAGCAGCACTCATTTTATTAGTCTGAAATTAGGAAAACTGAGAAAGAAAGCATGGTAAAATTGCAAGAATCACAGACCGATAGTGGGGATGGTGGTGACTATTTCTCCCAGTTTTAGTTTGTACAGGATGGTGGTCTTTCCCGCAGCATCCAAGCCCACCATCAGAATTCTCATCTCTTTCTTCCCAAAGAGATTCTTAAAGAGGCCTGCAAACATATTCCCCATGGTGGCGGATCTGCAGAGAACAGAGAAGGCAGATGGAATTAGATCTTATTCGCCAGAGAAACAAGTGCGCAGCCATCTTTAGAATTTTGTCCTTGAACTTCTGTTTTTGCGGTAGCCCTATAGCATCACTGTTGAAGAGTAATTAGCTGGTGAAGTGGATAAACTTTAACAAAAGATTTCATGTGCATTTTAATTAGGGATGCGCCGATCTGATATTCATATCGGGTATCAGCTCCGATAGTGCCATTTTTCTCGGATCGGGTATCGGTCGGAGAGAGCCGATCCAAATCCGAGATTTATTTATTTTTTTTTCTTTTCTCGATTGTGCGAATTATTCTGTTACTTCTGAAGCCATACGATAGCTTAATGTGAGCTACATATGAATATTTAAGTCCTTACATTAAAGTTCACACAAACTCTTTTCTCCGCTGTGGCTGTCAGTCATTCGTTCAGCCTTTAAACCCTGGTCGCGTTGAATCGGTATCGGAGGCAAAAAAGGCGGATCGGAGCATCCCTAATTTTAATGTTTGAAGCAGATGTCATAAATGTCAGTAGACCAATAAGATTTTAAAACAAGCGATTAATTCATAAATTCATACAACTTTACCTTCACATCGTGGAAATACAAAAGGAAGACAGAAAACAACTAGCTACATAAGGTCTATAGAGCAGAAAAATGCCTCACTCAAGTCACTGTCCAATTGAAATTGACCAAATCATTACTGACCGAAAAAAAACAACAGCAACTTCATTACTACTGGCAAACAATATTTTGACTGCCTGAAGATGGTGTCACATAATAGAAATGATCAGGGTGGAGACTGAAAAAACAAAAGCTTAAACCCTGCAAGGGGTGATGCTTCAAGTCAAAGCACTCAACCCCAAATCACTCTGCCGTAGGTTGCAAATTCAGGTATCTGCTAAATAAATGCATAGCACTCATTTGAAAGAAATTAAAGACCCAAATGACACAATCCACAATCATTTACACAGGAACTGATTAAGCGTTCAATGTGCCATGAATGCTTGTTATGGTTCAACCACATCTGACTCTGGGGAAACAAGTGTAGGTCAAGGCTGATTCACCATGTGAAGAGAAAAGAGGAGGGAGGAGAGTCAGAGAAACAAAAGGCCCAGCAGTGATGAGGTGAATGCAAGATGCCATCGGTGGAAAGAAGAGTACAGGAGGTAACCAGAAACCTGACAAACCTGTAAGACGAGACACCTGCCCTCTGAATTAATCAGAGACACAGAGAGAGAGAACACTGGAGATCCTGGTCCCCATCGACTGAGTTACACTCTAATCCCAACTGTAACTCAAGCGACAAACTACAGTTTTAGACAATGAAGCCGCCATATCCCTATTCAGACTGTCAGTCCATCTCTCCTTTCTTGTGCCTAAATGACATGGGACATGTCTGAAGAATTATAAACCGCCAACCATAATAATTCCTACATTTGTTTGTTTTCATGCAATAGATGGGTTACCTTGTTAATCTGATTTAAAACCTGTAGTGTTTGAAAAATGTATATACAAAAGAGCTGTACTGATACAATCATTCATCAGTCTACTTATTACATTGCTACTTCAGCCTTTGCATATTTTAATTTATAATTTTCAGCAGTTAATAAAGAAGGTCATCTAAAGCCTGAACTCTGAAACCATTGAGTCCGAGTCCAGAAAGACTCGCCGTTTTTGACAAAAGTGCAGCAAACTTGCGGGAGAGATTGAATCTGATTCACTGAGCTTCACTTATGCGTTTTCCACTGTTTCAATTATGATTTAATTATAACGCCATGAAGCAGTGACATTATGAACTGTGACGTGTATCATGATGTGTACTGTATTGTGAAGCAGCAATACCCTACACTATACAAAATAAATTTTGTGCAAAAATAATTCAGAAGACTGCAGCTGCACAAAAGATAAAAAGATGTCGTTCACAAGTACTTCATCTGAAGGAATGTACATTGTCTAGTCTACCGAGTCTAATTGTGGCACAAAAGTTAGGCGCTAAGAATGGTGTGAGAACACACCCAGTGAGATTGTGAGAGCAGTGTCCTTTGGGTAAAAAGAAGAGAGGTGGGGCTTCAGAATGCAGTGACACCAGAGTTAAAACAAAGTCCCAACAGAACAAAATGATTACATAAGCCTCAAACTATTTGAAAAACACCCTTTTTGTTTAAATGATGTGCTCTACAAGGGGCCACATCATTGGAAGAAGTCCCTGCAAATACAAGGAAGTGCTACAAAAAAAACTGACTCATTCTGTAACTTGCACGTATTTTCACAGATTGACTCACTGATCAGTCAGTTGGGTTGCATTATGGTCGATGTGTGTTTCAGATAAAGAAAGAAAAGGTAAGACCAGACGTTTTGGAAAAACAATGGACCAATTCAAAGATTTTTAATCGGCCATAGGGAATGTCAGCAACGAATTAAGCCACATCAATTATTTACAAGAACCAAAGAAGTTGAATTATTGAGCAGAAAAGGTGAAACAAGAAGCTCTTGCTAATGAAGTTGCTGTAGTCATAACTGTACACTAAACACTGTCCTGTGTAAATAAAGCTAGATCCTCACACATTATATTGAAGATTACCTCGATCATCAGTCTACAAAGCCTTGATTAAATAAAAAATATATATATGATGCCAGTAATATGTTTCAATACCCATGTCTTAACATTTAAAAAAAATGGTTGTTGAGTGAAAGTTTGCTCTTTCTCCACAGTGATTCACTTTGTCCCTCTGTGCAGCAACACATTTAAAAATCATGCATCAGATGTGATGAGTATTGCAGACTCTTTTTTTCTGTTGTTGTTTCCACTGGTTACAACAGACTGAACTAGTCATGCTGAAACTGATGGCATTTAAGGTTAAGCCCAAGCTTAAATAATGACCCCATTCTTACTCTGAAGTCTTCAGTTTAATACTTAAATGCAGAGTAACAGTCACATACACTACCATTCAAACGTTTGGGGTTGGTAAGTTTTATTTAATGATTTTGAAAGAAATCTCTATTGCTCACCAATGCTACATTTATTTGATAAAACTGTAATATTGTTAAATATTATTACAATTTAAAAGAACTCTTTTCTATTTTAAAATCTAATTTATTCCATTGATGTCAAAGTTGAATTTTCAGCATCCTTACAGTCTTCAGTGTCACATGATCCTTCAGAAATATGCTGATTTAATGCTCAAGGAACATTATTATTTTAAATTTTTGATCAACTGAAAGTTCAAAACAACAGCATTTGTTTTAAACAAATCTTTTGTAACATTATATAAGTTTAATCTGAATTTTGATCAATTTACAGCATCCTGGCTAAATAGATTATTTAAATCATAAAAAAAATCTCACTGAGCCCAAACTTTTGAACAGTAGTGTAAATTGTGTTTCTCCTGTGTAACTCCAGCAGCTGTCTGCTAACATTTACTATAACTGACTTTCCCTAAACATGTTACACACAGAAAATGTTTATTTTCCCTGCAGGGAGTATCAGCAAACAACATTCCTGATATTTGGGAATGAAAATGAAAAAAAGTGACAACAGTTTTACAAATGTTTAAACAGAAACTCTTAAGACTTAGCTTTTAATAGAAAACCTTAATAAAGTCAATCTAAATACTGATGAATAAAGTTATGCATGAAAGACAGAATGCTTTACAAACTCTGGCAAACGAACAACTCATGAGAGAAATCAACACCTTCCCATCCAGCAGAGTCACCAAGCTAATTAATCATAACCTTAAACATGTACTTTTAGATAATGTACAAAAAACAAAAATAAAAAAAACCAGGTGTCAAATACATCCAGATCTCCAATGAGTCAATCAAGTGAGATTAAACACTCTTGATACATGCAAGATATTAGAATGAAAATGCTCTTCAAACGTGCAAAAAGATCAAAGACTGAAATGGTTATGACAACCCATTTTTATCAGGCATACTAGGAAGTGAGAGCATTACAGATTCAAGAGGGAACAAAAAATCACATGTCAACATCTGATCCCATCCACAGCTTCAATGTTGCGACAGACAGCCAATTATAGCGAGAAATGCTTCCTAACTAGAAATCAACACGCCAGTCATTCACAATCAGGGTGACTGGGAGGCTGCTTACGAAACACCTTACAATTCAACAGAAGCGGTACAACCACAAGTATAAAAACAGATCCAGTTTTCTCATCTGACCTAGAACTTAATGGATATTAAAAGAATCATCATTTACAGCGAACTACAACTACACTTCGAGTGAATCAACTCCTTCATACATTACAGTGGAAAACTGGTGTTTGACACCTGCTAGTTCTGCAGACAAATGAAAGAGGTCATCCTATCACTGTTTTTTTTTTTTTTTACATACTCTGTTTTCTCATTTTTTTATGATGCAAAAGACTGGATCAATCCTGTTCTCGCTTGTCAAAAAGCAAACCGCTTTAGACATGCATAAGGTTACCAACAATTATACAGGCATAACGTAATTTCTGGTGAACTCGTAAAAACAGACGCAACACTTCACATTTGAAATAAAGCGATAGAAACGACGTAAGGAACGATCTCAGAAACACGGCCTAACAATCATTCGCACTAACAGATTACGCACAGTAACTGTAATGCTGACTTTGAGTCACTGTGATCTATTAATTCGTTCAATTCCTCATTCATTTATGTTTACACTGCTAGCTAAGAGACAAACTAGATCTCATAATCTATGCAGACTGTCAGCGTAGGAGCCGTTCATTATGAAGGTAGCGTTCTGCTTGTGTCGCGAGCGACGCCTTGTCGCCTGCTATTTGCTAAGGGCGCAGGCGAGATAACTAGATCGCTCCACTGTTTACTTCACTGCTACTTATTTACTCCAGTCACTCCGGAGGAACTATACAGTTTTGAAGACGGTAAAAAAAAATGTTTACGCGAAAAAGGTGCGCTGAAAATGTCTGTATATTCGGGTAAGTAGACGCGAACTGGTTGTGCAGTTCCACATCAGCTAAGCAAACATCCGTTAGTTAGCCTGTTAGCCTCCCTGACTGAAATTATAATTCTTTAAACGAAGTCACTGCTTCTCTTAGATACATGTAGACGACAGGTAAATTAAAAGACCTCTGTATGACATACGTCAGAATGACAATGCAAGATGTGTCGTTTCGGCATTATTTACCTTTTGGTGCAGTTTCGCTACAATTTTTCCGGTTCTCCACCTCACCGCTAAAAAACAAAATGGCGTCTTTCTCTAGTCCTAGGACAGTGGCGTCATGGGCCCCGCCTTCGCGTAAGTGTTGTCCAATCAAATTGTCCAAAGTGTATGCGAAACCCCACCCCGTTATTGTCGTCGTCCAATGACTGCATCGTGGGCGTGAGGGCCGAGGTACGCGTGTACAGGCCGCCTCTTCCCATGCAAAATGAAAGATGAGTCGACCTGAATATGTTTAGCAAATATATGCCTCTGATGCTACACTCATGTTTTCGAAGCGCGCTAACCAGAGGAATGAGTAATTATGAAGTAAAAGGATAAATGAACTGAAGGTTGTGTTGGAAGAGGACTTTATAAATATATGACAGGCAGATAAGCTGCTTTGAGTGTAGCCTGTAGCGCTAACATAGGTACTGTATGAGGTTACCCTCTAGTGGCAAAGATGCTACAACGTGTCAGGTGCCTTGTCCTACATCGCCTGTAATAATAATAATAATAATAATAATAATAATCTTTATCTGACCCTCTAACTCTAGCACTCTCTATTCTAATTCTATTCTTTAAAAAAGTGTCCCTTTTAGGCTTGCACTCTATTTATTTACTAACTGCTTGTTTTCTTTTTTTTTAAACTACCACTAGCTTCTCTATCTTTTTGTATTCTATCTATTTGTTCTCTTTTTATTTATTATACAATTAACATTAAAGCAAAAAGGCCTCTAACACTAGCTTGCTCTATTATTTTTCTATTCTATCTGTTTTCTTTTTATTATGTAATTTAAAAAAAAAACCTTGCTATGTGTCCTGCGTTAAGCTAACTGAGACTTGTTAGAGCACTTGTATATCATTGCTCTTTTGTTGATTTTGATTGCTTCCATCGTCCTCATTTGTAAGTTGCTTTGGATAAAAGCATCTGCTAAATGACTAAATGTAAATGTAATAATAATAATAATAATAATAATATTTTGTCATGTCTTAAATCCTTTAAAACACTTAGTGAGGTTATTATAGTTAAAAAACTAAAGCATTTATTATTATTTTTTGTTTTTGTTTTGTTTTGTCTTGTTTGTTGTTTTTTTTACTTGACATTAAAATAAACGTTTAGTGAAATAAAATAGAGAAAAACTTGAGATTATTTTTATTTCAACTAGTAGCCAGGACAATAAACATCTATGAAAACTATTTAGACATATTAAAAAAATAATCATAAAAAAGTGAATAAAATAATCATAAAAATGACCAATCACACACCAGAATTACTAAAGCTTTAACTAAAATTAAAATGGAAAATATAGATTTCAAATATTTAAATGTATAAATCCTATAAAACGTATCTCAGTGATAGGCCTACTAAAATAACACTGATACTTAGAAGACATTAGTTAAACATACTTGTTTGACATTTTTCTTTGTATTTTCTTATTTATTTATTAGTCATTTTTTCTTAAATGTTGATGATCTACTACTGGTCACGAATATTTCATAAAAACATAAAATCAATAGTCCACCAGATGGTGTAATATATTCTCATTGATCCACTGAGTTTTACTGCATTAATTCTGCAGAATTTAGACAGAGTATAGTCCAGTCAGCAGAGGGTGCTACAGTTAAAACAAACCAAGCAAGTGCAAATCCACTGAAGCCACAAAGCTACAACTACTGGCAGCTCATTGAAGATTGTACTTGGATGGCACATTCAAAATTTTAGGTCAGTGTGGGACAAGTTACTCATCTGGGTAAGCAGTGACGATTTGAAGGTACTGTTAACATAAAAGCTGGGTACCTGGAGAGTCTGCCATTAAATGAATGAAGCTAATTCTATTTTTAGGCTGAAGCTTCTTTCAAGTTGCACCAACAGCAATGATGAAGAAATATGACCAAAATGGGCCTTTTCCGATTCAGACCTAAAAAATACCTAACATACATAAATGGACCAATTGTTGGAAAGATAATTCTATTTTGGTGTTATAGTAACAGCCCCATAAAGTTTACTTTTTTGTTTTTGGGAGTGTGAAAAATACCATTCTCAAGGACTAACTTCCTGAAATACAAGTTCATCTAACAACAATATTTTCATCTACAGTGGCACCGATCAAGAGTCTTGTATCAAGATATTACTGTCAACAAGATAAACTTATTTTAATAAATAGTGACATGCCTAACACTCATACATTTAGTATCAGCTTAAGTGTTATCTGCTGTATTGTTTCAAAGACCTCAAAACAATTTTAAACTAAACAAATGGATCTCTATTCAAGAATCCAACACTAATGATTGTGTCTCCTCTTAAACATTATATTCACCCGAATTTTTCACATTTCACAAACAGGCCTATGTCTCGCAAGCAGGAAGTGCACCTGGCACACCTCCGTCATAAAGGTGGGTGTCTTAAACAAAGAAGGTGACATCATAAGGGAAATGTGGAGTTGGTCAGTCACTGATGGAGGCGAGAGGAACTGAGATGAAAGATCAGTCATGATTAGCTCATTATAACTTGTGCTTAGTGATGACAACAGCATCAAAGACGCCAGTGTGTTAATGATGCTGAGGAAATGAGAATGGAGCCACAGTTTGTAAACAAGGTGTTAAAATTAAACAAGAGTAAACAGACACTCATTATCCTTATACTGAACTCAGAAAAGAAAAAAAATAAGAAGAATAGTATTTATAGCAAGTGTTGATTAATTTTTTTAATGATCAGAAAGAAAAGGAAAGTTGTCTGAATCAGCCCTAAATAAATGTGAACCATTCAGCAGGTAAACGCACCTGCTAATATGTATGGAAATATCGTTTCCCTGGCAATGGGCGGAGTGACTGATGATCCAATAAGTTTGGCGTGCCTCACCCCTCTCGGGACCGCGCCTCCCCAAGGGCTAAAATGAGTTTCTGCCCCTTTAAGAAGTTGAGCTGTCCAGCACAGCTGGGATTTCAACACGGACAGATAGCGCAATGAAGAGCAGCGTCGACCCGTCATCATGTGCACCGGGCTTCCGAGGACTGCCTGTCCGCTGCGACTTTTTGCCCTCTGCATCCTTCTTTCCCACGCAGCAGCCTATTTCGGGTCAGCAGAGACTTTTATATCCTCTATCTTTTCTGAATTCATGGAAATAGCCTCTGACTGCATTATTGTTGTATTTCACATGGAATCGAATCATTTTAAGTTGCGGCAACAGGTGGAGATATTTGGTGATGTTGGATGTCCCATGCGCAATTACGCATATCTTGTTATTGGTTGTATGTTTAACAATCACGTTTAAAACCTACATTGCAGGTTGTCTGTTGCAAATAATCAAATGAGGCTAAATTAAATAATTATTTGTTTAATGTGGCATTTTAAAAAGATCTAAAATGAATAATTTAAATAAGGAAGACTTTTTGTCTGCTTTTAAAAAGTAGCTGCAAGTAACACAATTCGATGTAATTTATGTATTTTTTTTAGTTGTTATTGTTTTTAAAACACTGATGTGTCTAAAAAATTTCAATAGTGTGCTTCTGGTCGATTATTGGCGTTGAGCGCAGCGCAGTGTATGGATCCAGATGTCTTCCGATGGTTTGGCACCGCGTCCTTGCCCTCGCACTACCTGATAATTAAGATCTTTCTGGCTTACGCTCATAGGACGTTGCCCCACGGGTGTTTATAATAAGAATCCCATAAACACGTAAAAACACTCTGCAATTGGTTTTTACTTAAGAGTGCTTACTAAAGTTTGTTAAGCGCCACGGTAGCGTTTCAAAAGTCAAGGGCGCTCAGACTAAGTGACTGGGGAAAGAGCACGTGTATTTTTATGCATTATTTATTCAAACAAGACTATTCAAATGAGGTATTTAAACACATATTCAAAGCACATGTGTCATCACTCGGGCATTCTAGAAAAAAAAAGTTAATTTGTTGCCTCAAGTTTTCAAATACAGTAACTTTAGTGCCAAAGTTTAAACTCTGAACACGTCTTGGAAATTGGGGTGAGATAAATAATTGTGACAAGTTAATCTGAAGATGTTTTATAACATTATGATGAAAACGTTTTACACTGTCTGATGTTCTAAAATGTCTT